CTCCCCACCATGTATCATCTTAACTAAAGACTGAAACAACATGTAGGTATCTGACTAACGATTTTTTTCTCCTATTTGGTTTGTAACATCTTGCCTGATGAAGAAGCCCATGGAGCTTCGAAAGCTTGCAAAAGGTGTATTGTGCATTTTGGGTGGTCAATAAAAGCACCACTGATGGATTTTTGCTTGAACCGCACATGGAGGGTAGCGTCGATTGAGAACCGGAAGTCTCCTTTGCGCCGCCATTGAGCCTTTACCCCTATACCCGCCGACGGAGGAGGAGGAGGAGGAGGAAGAGAAGAGGCAGAAGAAGGAGGACAAAATGGCGGCCGCTCGCCTGCTCCTCCTCCGCTCCGGCCTCCTGGGCCTCCGCGCTCCCCTGTCTCTCCGGCCTCCCCTCCGCCTCATGTCGTCCTCGCCGTCGCCGGGCTTCGAGTACCTGTCGGTGGAGCGTCGGGGCCAGTCGGGGAGCGTGGCGGTGGTGCGCCTGGAGCGTCCGAAGGCGCTGAACGCGCTGTGCGAGGGCCTGATGGCGGAGCTGGGCCGGGCGCTGGCGGGGCTGGAGGCGGACCCGGCGGTGGCGGCCATCGTGCTGACCGGGAGCGAGCGGGCCTTCGCGGCCGGCGCCGACATCAAGGAGATGGCCGGCCGGGGCTTCCAGGAGTGCTACGCGGGGGACTTCCTGGGCGGCTGGGACCGGGTGGCGCGGACGCGGAAGCCGGTGATCGCGGCGGTGAACGGGCTGGCGCTGGGCGGCGGCTGCGAGCTGGCCCTGATGTGCGACGTGGTCTACGCCGGCGAGGCGGCCCAGTTCGGGCAGCCCGAGATCCTGCTGGGCACCATCCCCGGCGCCGGCGGGACGCAGCGGCTGACGCGGGCGGTGGGCAAGTCCCTGGCCATGGAGATGGTGCTGGGCGGGGAGCGGATCTCGGCCCGGGAGGCCCAGCAGGCCGGGCTGGTCAGCAAGGTCTTCCCGCCGGAGCGGCTGCTGGACGAGGCCGTGCGCCTGGGCGAGAGGATCGCCCGCAACTCCAAGCTGGTCACCGCCATGGCCAAGGAGGCCGTCAACGCCGCCTTCGAGACCACGCTGGCCGAGGGCTGCCGCGCCGAGAGGAGGCTCTTCCACGCCACCTTCGCCACCCAGGACCGCAAGGAGGGCATGGCCGCCTTCGTCGAGAAGAGGGAGGCCCGCTTCAAGGACCAGTGAGGAGGCCTCGCAAGAAGGCCTTGGGGCAGGGCTAGGCCACCTTTCCCCTTTAAGGGCCGAGGGACTTCAGCTCCCAGAATCCCAGGAGCTACTGGCCAACATGGGACCATTGGCCAACATGGCTGAGGCTTCTGGGAGCTGAAGTCCCTCGGCCCTTAAAGGGGAAAGGTGGCCTACCCCGCCTTGGGGCCTCCGCCAGTCTCCTCCTCTCAGCCAAGGACCCCAGGAGGCCTCTCAGTCATACTGCAAACTCTGGTGACTGGTTTCTGTGTTAAGGGAATAATTAGAAACTGTGATTGTCCCTCGCTCCCTTCAGAAAGATGTCTTGGATCGCTTAGCCTTCTGTTTGACCCTAATAAACGATGCCGACAGCAGGACAAAATGTAGGGAATATTTGGGGTTTGTACACACACACACACGTATCCCTTCCACATCACCACCACATCTGGAAAAAGGGGCCGCTTTAGTTCCTCCAGACTTCTTCCTGCCTTTCCTAGAGAGATCTGGTCTCTAAAAGTGCTGCCTTCTCTTGGCCAGGAACCGGAGGCCTCTCATCTTGGGCACTGGGGTGCAATCTTAATGGTTGGTTTCTTTGTTAGGGCAATAATTGGAAACTGATTCTCCCTCATTTCCTTCAAAACGATGTTTTGGGAATGCTCCGTTTGAAGGATTGCATAGCAGTTGTGCCTTCTGTACACATTTGTTTGAGCCAAATAAATGACACTGACAACAACACAAGATGTAAGGACTATTTCATGTTTGCACGCACACATACCCAAGCACATGCTCTTCCCCACCAACTACACCCAGGGGCATCATGGAGGCTGGCCGGCCATCTGGGAAAAGGGCCGCTTTTGTTCCTCCAGTCTCCTCCTTGCCTTTCCTGGAGAGAAGTGGGCTCTAAAAGTGCTGCCTACTCTCAGCCAGGAACTGGAGGCCTCTCATCCTAGGTACAGGGGCACAATTCTGATGATTAGTTTCATTGTTAAGGCTGTATCTGGGAATTGCTTGTCCCTCATTCCCTTCAAAACAAAGTTTTTGGAATAGCCCATTTCAAGGTGGTTCGGACTGCACAGCAGTTGTGCCTTCCGTATGCAGTTTTTTTTTTTACCCTAATCAATGACACTGGCAGCGATGCCAGATGTAAGGAATATTTTCAGTTTGCACATGCACAGACATAACCCCTCAATTTTAACATCTCTCCAGCTCTCTACTACTTCCAAACGAGTGAATTGAAAAGGGTATATCAATGCTGTCTCCTGGCAGGGCTGCAAACTGTATGCTTTGGCAGGTTTGTGGATGTGGTTGACTTCTGGTTTTATCTGCTTCAGAAACACATATAGATTGATTGTCACCAGGATAGTTCTGCTGCTTTGGGATTGAATCTAACCTGTTGCCTTTACATGTGGTTATACATGCTTAAGTAAAGTCCATGAGATCAAGCTTGTAGCCAAAATGCATTGAGGAAAGACTTTATTTAGCCCTAAGTGGAAGGTTTCTGAACACCATGCAGAGAGAAATGTGAATTAACTTCATGATTGTATGTGAATTTCTTTAATAAAATTACACTATTTTAAATGTACCCACCTTTTCTCTAGCAATAAAATCCTATACAATCTAGTCAGGAGTAAGTTTCAGAGTGTTCAATGGAGCTTACTTCCAAGTAAGTGTTCAGGATTGAAGCCTGTATTGCTACTACATTTGTAGCTGAGTTTCAGTCTCCCCTTTCTCTGTCCCTTTCATAGAGTTTACTGGTCACAAATTGACTTCTTTTTCCAATCCCAGCTTGTAATTCAAAATAAAGATTTTTATCAGTGAGGTTCAAAAAAAGAAAAAGAAAGAAACCGGGACACAAACTGATGGTCACTGAGAATCATGACCAGTTCCTGGAAGTTTGCTATGCCCATCTAAACTTCTGTGTTTCTTGATGGGTGGGCTGGGGCTGAGGATTGTGCAATCTTCCAGATGATGTTGAACTGCAGTTCCCAGAATTCCTCACCATTAACTATGTTGGGTAGGACTGGGATTTGCAGTCCAACATCTGGTGGACAACACAATTCCCATCTTTAGTCTGAGGAACTGGAGTTCAAATAGAAAAGGAGAAACTGTCACATCTGAAGTTACTTTTGCTCATCCTTTGCCACATACAATAGCTAGATTGTATTAACTCGGTGTAATTTTAAGATCATTTTGGTGGATAATTTTTGTTATAAATATTTCTCTCCCATACCTGTTCCATCAGTGTATAATAATAATAATAATAATAATAATAATAATAATAATAATATTTATTTATATCCCGTCCTTTGGTAACCCAATCAGGGCGGCTTACAGGCATAAAAAAACAAACAAAACATATACAATACCCAGTCCCAGAGACCCCTCCCCCCCCTTAAAACAGTATTAAATCAATAGAGGTTAAAACAAACAATTCAATTCAATAAAACAATACAACCAATATATGAACCCAGCGGCCATGAGCCTAACCATCTTTAGATGGGGCCATGTAAAGATCACGGGGGTGGGCGTATCTGAGGCCGGAGAAAATCTTAGTTTGGAAATTTTGTGCATTACATTGAAGGAGAATTATGTGCATTACATTGAAGGAGAATTATGCTTCAGTAAACTCTGGCACAAAGAAATTTTGAAAGGTGCAAACTTATGAAGTGCCCTCGAGTCCATCTTGATCCATGATGACCCTATGGATAAGATATTTCCAAGACCCTCTGTCCTCCACCACTCTGCTTAAATCCTGCAAACCCATACCCATGGCCTTCTTAATAGAGGTTATCCATCTGGCATGTGGCCTTCCTCTCTTCATACATCCCTCCACCTTTTCCAGCATTATTGTCTTTTCTAATGAGTCTTTTCTTCTCATGATGTGTCCAAAATACAACAGCCTCAGTTTGATCATCTTGGCTTCCAGGGAGGTTTCGAGCTTGATCTGCTCTATGAGCCATTTGTTTGGCTGCCCACTGGATCCACAACACTTCTCCAGCACCATATCTGAGAGGAATTGATTTACTTCCTATCATCTTTCATAACTGTCCAGCTCTCACATCTATACATGATAATAGGGAATACAATAGCTTGTATGATTCTAACTTTTGTGCTGAGTTGTATATCTTTGCATTTTAGAATCCTTTTAAGTTCTTTCATAGCCACCCTCCCCATTTTTAGTCTCCCGATTTCCTGACTGCAGTTCCCATTTCTATCAATGTTTGATCCCAGGTATGGGAATTCTTTTACTATTTCGATTTCTTCATTGTCTAGGTTGAACTTGTGAAGGTCCTCCATGGCCATTATTTTTGTTTTCTTTATGTTCCAACATTAAGCCTGCCTTTGCACTTTCTTCTTTGATCTTCCTTAGTAGGTATTCCAGGTCTATGATGTTTTCTGCTAGAACTGTGGTGCTATCTGCATATCTTAGATTGTTGATATTCCTTCCTCCTATTTTCACTCCCCCTTCTTCTGTCTCTAAGACTGTTTTTCTTATAATATGTACTGCATGAAAGTTGAACAGTTAGGGTGATAGGATGCAGCC